TATCCATTAATGATATAATTGCGAATGGAGAACATCAATCAATCATGTCAACAAGTTTATTTGAAACTTTACCATGTAATTTTTTAACGCCAGAGGATCTTTTGAGTAGTGCATCTTCTTGTTCAAAGTTATATTGTCTCTATAAAAAGGTCAAAGAGAGACAAATATGTTCTTCTCGGTTGCGATAGGGAAGGTAGTTATTGTGATCGACATAATATTTCTATTGCACGCCAGAGAAAAAAGACCAGATCGGATCTCATTTGATTGACTATCCTTTTGAAGTTTGTTGCTATAAATAGAATAACGGATTAGGGTCACTCAAAATATTTAATGCATCACACAATAAATAATTAAAAATTTGACAATTAGATTCACTTAATAAGATGAAAGTTGAGCGATTAAAATACACGGACTATAACGTAATAACACATATTAAAGTTATAATTAAATGAAATGCATACAAAAACTGACAGATGATTCTTTTCACTCTTAATTGTGCTTAGGCTATTTTTTGAATAATAGTTTCCTAGTCAAATAAAAAGAAATATAGAACTTGTTCAATTAGTTTTTTTGTCGGAATCAAATAATTAGTTATCTATTTACCAAATAATTTTTTTTGAAAAATCTAGAAAAAGAAGAAAATAAGGCAAGCAATAATTTTAAATCAAGAGTAGGCTCCACATTTTAATAAATGTTGTTTGATAGGAGCATGGGTAGTTTCGTCTACAGTAAAATTGAAATAAAAAAAAATTAAAAAAATAATTTTAAATCAAGAGTGAAATTGAAAACGAAAAATTTAGCCACTTTAATGTGAAAGGGGCTGTCAGAAACTAATGAGGGGTGGAAATAGAGTGAGCCAAAAGATTGGGGGTGATCCACTTGTACTTTTCTTCAGTAATGAGCTCTTTCTTAAAGTTTAGGTGAAGACAACATTTATTATGTATTTAGTGACCATTATTAGGCAAGCCTTGTGGTCAGGATCTAACTTCTTTTTATTATGTTTCTAGTATATTTGCTCATGTTTATGTTCACTAAAATTTCTTCTCTACTCTTGCCCGCTCAACTTATTTGAACATAGTATTTTTGAAGTCATAGTAGTGACAAAATAACCTTATAACTCTAAAAGAAATATACCTTTAGTATAAAATATATTATTTGGAAGATAATTAAATATTATGGGCTCATTTGCCTTATACATAAGTTCCCATTACGCTTATCAAACATGTCCTACGTCGAAATTGAATTTATCAATACCTATTTCTATTTAATTTGACTCGATTGTTTTGTCATTTCTTTAATAGTAACTATTATCCTTTAAGTAACTTTTACTCAAATATTGTATTTTACTACATGTCGTATATCATAGAATCGAAGTAATGTTACTTTGTGGTGTATTATATTGCAAGTGTGTAAGTCAATTTTTCTGTCTATATTATTCTTTAGACAGAGAGTAGTTTTTTTACATATATCACATGACATATCATACATAATAGAGTCGATTTTTATGTTAAATTATCTATTTCATTACCTTTCATTATCATGGAGTAAATTTTGCTACTTTTTACTATAACTATGTTAGAATTTTTTTCAACCAATAATTCTCTAATTTTTTTTGAAAAAATAATTTTCTCATTCTCTTAGCTCAATTTTACTACTTAATGTCAAGAGATTTTTATTTTTAACTTTCGCTTTTCTTGAAAAAAAAACTCTTAAATTTTATTTGGAAAAGAAAGGACTCCATTCATTAAAATTGAATGCATTTAATGTGTAAAACTCACTTTTTCGTATAATATCTTACGTTATATGGGCTTTTAAACGAGTACCATAAGTTACTTATTAAGCACACTCCACAGAAACAATCCACTTGAAAATTACCAAATGTTCTCGATTAGTTGCTTAATAAGCGCTCATGTTTGGGACACTCACCAACAAAATTTATATCATTTATAAATGTTGGTTCAGAATTAGATCAAGATGATTCTTAAGACTACTACTAATAATAAATCCAATATTCTTAAACTTTTACCAAGAAAAGAAATTTATAATTGGTTTACTCAGTTAAATTGCATCGCGTAGACATGCTAACTACGAAAAAAAAAATATGTCTGGATATTCAAGCCATTCAGGCTGATTAAATTAAGGAAAAACTCACATCCAAAAATTTACAACTGAATTTACGAAAAATCGAATCACAGCTGAGAACCATTTGAACCTTTTCCTTCTATTTTGATAGGATTTCATTAACAATGCCTTTAATATACCGGTCAAACTTTTTATAGGAATTTTCGAATTTCAAACCATCAATTTTTCTTGTGATCACTACTCAATTTGTGGCCCAACCATTTAACATAATTTATTTTTAATAAGAATATAATCTTTGATGGGGAAGAGATAAAATGGCAAAAATAAGCTTCCACAAACCATGGAAACGTTACCAATTTAGTCTTAAACCTATAGTATGGTTGTCAATTCGATTATAATATTTTCAATTTTGTAAATGTAGTCCTAAACTTTTGCGTAACAATCTAATGTAACCCTTTGAACCAATTGTCGTTAGAAATCGCTGATGTGGCGATCCACAAGTCGTTCATGTCAACGTGCCACGTAGGATGGCCGATGTCACGTCAGTGATTTTTTTGTGGCAATTTGCCAGAAGCACTACATTTGAATTTCATACTATATTGGCGAATTTAAAACGTTTAGAACTGAATTAGCATTTGTCCAATATATTTAGAACTTTTTGGGCAATTTTCCTCGCACACCATTGATTCTTTCATTATCTTTTATTTTCCTTGATTTGACTTTAGCAAGCGAATGACTCTACGAAATGCATGATTCATTACCACTCTTAGAAAGTCATAAAGATAAAATATTAAAAGTATGTCACATCGCTTGTTTATGAGGTTTATATGCTTTTCATGTACACTTGATCTTCCTCCACCTATCGGTTTAAACTCTTGTCATTGATCGGTTTGACGTTTTATATTTAATTGACTACATTGTCCCGTGTGGGTCCCACTCTCGATTTAAGATTATTTCTTACATTTTCTTTGCTTCTTCTTCTTCTTTTGTTTCAATTTTATAAAAAGACAAAACTACCCACATCATTTTCAAACATTTTATTTTCATCCTAGCCACTGCTTCCACACCCATTACATTTTAACTTTACTTCATGTTTGTCTTCTTCTAAACTTATTCCGACAATTATTAACTTTATTTTCCTAGATAATCTTCATGGTCATGAATTTTCTACTTCAATTTTCAGTACAAATATACGAGAATTTACTCAAAGATTGAATATTGCAGTTGATCAATGCATTATACACAATTTACTCATCTTTCATTGTGTTGTTTTCAGTAGTGTAGTCACTATGGAAGACAATATTGAAAAGGACCCAAATTACTTAAATGTATCCATTGATAATGAAACTACAAATGGAGGATAGCAATCAATTATGTCAACAAATTCATTTGGAGCTTCTCGCACTAAACATTGAAAACTGTTCCTTGATATATATTGTTTTAAGTGAATAATGACTCTTTTGTTGATGTAATTAAAAACTTTTATTATCTGATTCAGGTAAAATATTTTTTTTCGAGTGAGTAACATTTTTAGGGTGGCCAAGCAGCTGAACAGGCAATATCTTTTGTTAAGTTGCATATGCAACTTGTTATTATTGCGGTACATTTGTATTTTGAGGATAATTTTCTTTTCATTGATGATTCTAAGACAATTTTTATGCATTTAAAATTTCAAAAAAAAAAGCGTTTTCAAATGGTTTGAATGGGTTGTCTTATAATGCTATTACAATTATCATAATTTTTTGTCAACAACTAATTATACCAAGTAATCAAGGCAAATATAGTATTATATGTAATAATGTTTTAGGGAGCACTTTCTTTTGCATTTGCATGATAATAATGGATGTATAGAACTTTTTATGTACTTAACTTTATCAATTTTTTTTGAAATTATCTTTTAAAACATCATGCAATGATGACATAAAAAATAATTAAAAATTCAACTATTAGATTCACTTAATAAAATGAAAGTAGAGTAGTTAAATTACATAGACTACAACGTAATGACATATATTAAAGTTATAATTAAACAAAATGCGTACTAAAACTGGTAGAGGGTTCTTTTTACTCTTACTTGTGTTTAGGTAATTTTTTAAGTAATAGTCTCCTAGTACAAAAAAAGAGAATATACAACTCATTAACATAATAATTAGTTTTTTTGGTCGAAACATAATAATTAGGTAGCTATCTACTAAATAAACTGTTTTTAGTAAAAGAGGGACACCATTCCAAATGGAGAAAGAAAAGGAAAACTGAAAAAAAAGAAAAGAAGGCAAGAAATCTTAAATCAAGAGTGGGCTCTACATTTAACCTTAATAAATGTTGTTTGAGAGGATCATAGGAAGTTTAGTCTCTAGAAAATTGAAACAAAAGAAAAAGAAGACAAAAAGGCAAGAAATCGTATTAAATCAAGAGTGGGATCCATAAAGGATAATGTAATCAATTCAATGTGATAAGGGTGTCAAGAGCCATTAAGGAAATGGAATTAGCGTGAGCGTATTTTAAACCTTAGAAATCATCCTAGAATCGGTCACTCAAGATCTTACAAAAAAAGTTTAAGAAATGACTGCCGTTGTCGTTGCATCGTGATAGATAGCGTTCACATGTCGTTTTGGATTTTGTTCAGCTAACAAATATCCACGGCCGTTTAATTATGCATTTGGAGTCAAACATCTAAAACGTGGCATCGTTTAGAAGACAATTTTGTCCCCTGTTTTTCAAAATAAAATCAAAATAATGGTGTGAAAAGTAGAACAATACTAGCTTCATTATTATTTAATTTTCATGATTTAATTTTGTTTTTTTTTAAGTGTTTGTTGTTGTTGTTTCTCTTCTGTTTGTTTCCTTTCAAGAGTGTAAAATATGTATAAAATATGTATCTTTGGATACAATGCAAGAAAACTTGCCCCTTCCGAGTTTTGTCTAGTGTGTCTTAGAAGCATTGCCTTCTCATTCAACCAAGATCGACCCTATAATTTGCTATCGTCCTCATTAACGTTCCAAGAACAGGACACTCTTGAAACTTTCTTCAATGGCCAACTCTCAATGGCTCCTCCATGCCCTCCTCCTCCTCCTTCTCCTCCTTCACATGGACTCGATCTTGCTCAAAACTGCTTCCATGCCACCACCTTCCCCTGTCATGTGCAACAGTCCCGCCGGTGGTGATGGTTGCATCCTCCACAACTCGTATGGTGCGTGGAATGACAGATTGGACTGCCATGTCCAGAATGTCACGTACCCTACAACCGAGGAAGAGCTACGCTCGGCCGTGGCCTATGCGACTCGCAATGGACTGAACGTCAAAGTCGTGAGCAAATTCTCGCACACCATTCCGAAGCTGGCCTGCCCTGGAAGGACTCAATCTGTCAACTCGTTCTTGATAAGCACGGCGAATTATGCCTCTAGTATTGACATCGACGCAACCAATTTGGTGGTCACAGCCGATGCGGGGGTTCCACTGCGGCAGTTGATCGACAGAGTCGAGGGACAAGGGTTGAGCCTGGTGGCTGCGCCGTACTGGGAGGGCGTGAGCGTGGGCGGGCTGATAAGCACGGGAGCGCATGGTAGCTCGTGGTGGGGGAAGGGCGGGGCGATGCACGATCACGTGGTCGGGATCAGCCTTGTGGCCCCGGCCAAGGAATCGGAAGGTTTCGCCAAAGTCATCAGAATTGAGGCACAGGATCAGCTTCTTAATGCTGCTAGAGTGTCATTGGGCTTGTTGGGTGTGATCTCTAAGGTATGTTGATTTGACGGTTGCAATCGGCATATATTGAGTTCTTGAAATTTGAATGTTTTGCTCTGTAACGTTGAGTTTCTGGTGCTTTAGACCGAAAAGACTACATCCAACTTCATGCTGTCAGAAATTTCTTTAGCTTCAGATAGTTCGGAGATTGGCCTTTGTTCGATGAAAACACAACAATCCCCAGAAAAATTGTCTAGTGAAGAAAACAAAATAGGAGAAGTGAAAGATTGTTGAGAATTGATTCATTATAGCTTGTTACTGAATCCTAGTATAAAATCGATTTCAGGTGAAGTTTTCTCTCGAGGGAGGATTCAAGAGAAGCATAACCTATAATTTCACGGACGATGCTCAGATCGAAGAGATATATAGGGACCACGCCATGAAGTACGAATTCGCCGATATCACTTGGTACCCATCTAAACACACCGCCGTTTACAGATACGATAATCGAGTCCCCCTGAACACATCGGGTGATGGCGTTTATGACTTCCTAGGATTTCAATCCAACTCAGTTGTTGTCTCTAAATCCGTACGAGCAACAGGTAATGCGTCTCTTCTTCTCTCTATCTTTTATACAATGCCTAATTTTCCTATCATGGCATCGGCATATCATCCTCGTCAAAAACAGAATGACTGAAGAAAACTGATGTAAGCAGAGAAGTTACTGGAGAACGCAAGGAACGTGGATGGAAAATGTACATTGGCGTCGACCACGGTGGGATACAAGAAGCTGATTGCCAATGGTTTGAGGAATGGCCTGATCTTCACTGGCTATCCGGTTATCGGTTGCCAGGGAAAAATGCAAACTTCTGGTTCATGTTTATATTCACCTCCCTCTAGAACTGACCTTACTTGTGCTTGGGATCCAAGAATTGACGGGCTCTTTTTTTATGAGACGACGGCAATATTCCCCGCCCAAAGATTTGCAGATTTCGTCCGAGATGTGAAGAAGCTCAGGGACATGAATCCAGAGAACTTCTGCGGAGTGGATATCTATAATGGGTTTCTGATACGTTTCATCAAGGCCTCCAAGGCATACTTAGGCCAATCCGAGGACTCGGTCGTGGTGGATTTCAACTATTACCGAGCCAACGGTCCCTCAACCCCAAGACTGAATCAAGATGTGTGGGAGGAAGTGGAGCAAATGGCGTTCTTCAAGCATGGGGCTAAGCCACATTGGGCTAAAAACAGGAACTCGGCTTTCTTGAATGTCCAAAACAAGTATCCCAATTTTGGCAAATTCATGGCAGCTAAGAAGCAATTGGACCCACAAAACATGTTCTCAAGTGAATGGTCAGATGAGATATTGTTTTGGAATGAAGCAGCAAAAGGTGATGGGTGTGCACTAGAAGGACAGTGCATATGTTCAGAAGACAGGCATTGTAGTCCAGCAAAAGGTTATCTTTGCAAAGCAGGGCTTGTTTATAAGGAAGCTAGAGTTTGTAGGTATACACAATCTTCAGTGGCATAAGACATCATATCATTTTGCTGGTCATGTTTAAAACCTGTAGATTGGCCATATTTGTTTGAATAATGTACCTCATTATCTTTATAGAGGTTTCCATTGCTACATTTGAGTTCTAGCTCACAAATCTCAATATGATCCGCGCTCGAGACTTGACTCCTTGAGATCTTGATACTAGGTTTATTCCTATTATCCTACGAGCAAGCAACAAACAGGTTATGGATCCCCCTTAGCCAATTTCTTCAACTGAGAAAAGAGTTAGACTTATTTTCTTGAAATCTAAATATCGTTTATGCTTAAGCTTCAACCAACACCACTCTACATGGAGAAAGCAAGCCAACCAATTATGTGCAGATCATCTAGACAAGCTTGTCGTCAGAGTATATCTGCATCAGAAGACCAACGCTTAAACTGGAAATGGGACACTATAGAGAATGTACAAGTATTGCATATCCGGAAAAATAGTATCCCTACGCAAATAGCCGATCGTCTGTCCAAAGCATCTTAAGATGTTGAGCACCTCGATTAAGTTTTTCTTGTACATCAAGCAATTCAGACGAATTCCATATCCAAAATGTAATGTTTTTAGTTTGCTTTTCCTTTTGCTTTATTTCAACCGAACCACATTTCCAGGTCCTCCCTTTCACTGTAGCCAAACACCCTTATTACAACTGCCGAAATGAAAGAAAACAAAAGAAAAAACAAAAGAAAAGCACAAACTTGACGTGTGCCCCACTCGGCCAAATAGTCATGTCGATACCCTGCTATTGTTCCTAAACACATTCTTTGCCAGGGTAAATCACAAGACAAAACATGGAGGTACTCTCATATAGTCAAGCATCTACTTCCTGCATAACCTCTGAAGTCTTGTGCTTAGAACTCTGAAAGGGTCAAACTTCTCGCAGTTTTACAGGCCTTACCTGGTTGTATTTTCATGATGCTGGCTTAGAGATGGATCCGGATTCAGAATTAACAGCAACTTTCCAGACCACAAAAACAGCTCGCACATTCTGTACACTAGAGCTTTCAAACCCGGTCAAGATGCTCTTTTTTGCAGCAACTAAGCAAGAAAACCAAGATGCTCACCTGTCAGAACTAGAAAAATAAAACCTTGACTTAGTAAAATTATCAGGAACATGGCTAGAATCTGCAGGCGAAGCAGCCTTAGAATCTAGCCGGTTGAAGAGAATATAAGGATGCCTCAACCTGAAGAACTATATAAAAATCTTTGGAAGCACTACCTTATGAAAATTGGGAGGGATTCAACCAAGCTGATGCTGGGGAATTCTAAATCCAGCGGTGAGCTTCATGCCACTCTTTTCTTTCAAACCATCCAAATTAGCTAGGCCAGACTTCTTCGGAAATCGGACTTTCTTTTCAAATTTTAGGTCATTACGTCCGATTGTGTAGATATTTCCTGCTTCTGGCGAGCTAAAGTCTGCAGGGTTCCGATTAATCGTGCAAATTCCAGGCTCAGAACTGCATCTCGGAGGCCAAATGGTTTCACTTCTATTATGGGCGTCCATTTTGGCCTTTTCAGAGTTTTCCTCGTGCGGTGAGAAATTCCTAGGATTTGGCATGCCAAAGATATTCCCTGATTTATGATAGAGATTGCCTCCGTGATTCATTCCTGAATAGGCACTTCTGGCTAGAGGGTTAGAGAATGTAGAGCCTCCAGTCGGTCCAGCTAGATCGGAACATTTTCTCTTTCCTTTATCACGGACCTTGAGAGGGAGACGCGCTTTACCTTCATTATCCCCCCCAAAAAATTTATCAGGTTGAACAAAGGAAGCAGATGCACTCATGATCGGAACAGCAGAATGTTCATGGTATCTTCCTGGAAGGAAATTTGTAGGACAGTAACCTGAAGATGAGCATTTCAACGGATCGGATGGCTTGTGCAGACTCAATGCCTGCCCAGGGATATCCTTTGAATGATAGCCACGCGAAAAGGAAGGATATTTAGGGAACCTATCATTTCCGCCCAAATTGATGTTTTGACCAGAACTAGGTCCAGCATGCATGAGACTGAGTAAATGCATAGCTGGTATAGTTTCATTAGAACGAAAATCAAATGAGTCATATCCATTTTCAACCTCGATTCCCTTATGTCTTGATGCATACGGGTTCTCCACACATGTTCTGCTGAAAGCATCAAAATGTAAGTCCTTACTAGGCCTCTCAAGGTTTGTAGCACTGAAGTTAAATAATCTTGGATCCCGACTCCAGTTCATCTCCACCTTAGGTGGCGTTTTGGGGCGATACGATTGAACATCCATATGATTAGAGTGAAGTCCCCCGTTTGGAGGGATACTGTACATAAAGGGCATGTGGGTTGGTATCACGGATGACGACAGACGAACCGGTTCGTCACCTTGTCGGGGAATATGGGTTCTGCTGTGTGCTTGTAAACGCTCGAAATTAGTATCCGAGGGCTTGTTTCTGGAAATATCCTCGTTCATTGTGCCATTCAAAATAGTACCCTGCCTCGAAGGATCTGTAACACATACTCGGACCTTAACTGACCTTTCTTGGTCCTGGGAAAACATAACATGCCTTGCAGTATTAGGAGTTCCTTCTACATGGCCAACACTTGCATAATTTGTGATTGGGCAAGAAGAGTTCTGAACAAACTTTTGCATGGGCGATCTGAAATCTTTTCCAACTACAACACTTCGGGCATTTCCAGAGTGAATTTGCCTTTTCGGAATGCTTTCCTTTTGCGATAAGTTCAGCTCCCTGTTTCTACTTTCCTTCACAATCCTTGAACTGCCAGAATTTATTGACTTACTTGTTCTCAGCAGGAGTTTATTTTTTCCTGCCCCATCTAAAGACCTTTCATATTGATTTTTTGCCATGAGTTCAACAATTTCCATTGGTATGTCATCTACAGTTGTCTGCTCAGAAGCTTTAACAGATTTTTCATCATGATATTGCTTCATTGTTGCAGAGAACTCCTGAGATTTAGTGGCTTTCTCTCTGTTACTTGTCCCAGAAAAATCCTGCTGTAAAAGCAAAAAAGCAATTGTTGAATTCTGAAAATCACTGAGCAAATCACCTAATATTACAAGAGCTCAAATGTAAATATACTGAGAGCGCTTGGTAACATCTAATGACGTCACAGAAACATATAGTCATAACAAGACGAAGAGAAGCATCCAAACAAATATTCGAACAACCAACTTGAGGAAATGCGAGACTGTAAGACCAAGCCTAAGAACTAACCGAGCACATGACGTCACATCTAGAAGATCCAAATCAATTAACTCTAATGAACTAATGACAAGATTGTATACCATTTGTGGCTTCGTATAACAAAATGCGCTCTCTAAATTCAAGGCATGGCTTTGCTTCTCAGTCTGAACTTTAGGAATCTTATGAATGGATCCCTTGCTAACGACATCACGGACCCCTTTACTCGGGAAAGCATCAGATCCACATCTAGAAGGGCGCTTTGGCTCTATGTGTCTGGCTTCCCTACTTCTGAGCATAAGTGAATCTTCTCGAGCACCTTCCAGCCAATGGAATGAAGAAGCCAAACCAAATTGAGTGGCATATGCTTTGTCGACTTTGGGAGGAAGCATACAGCTTTTGGTAGATACATGGGATCTATTTTCTACAGAAGCATCACTGGTGGGTATGAACCAAAAAGGTGGAGGACTGGCTTGCATGACTCCAGAGTCTGTCCTCATAAACATTCCTCCTGAAGTATTGGTGTTACTGCTAGGAGGAGTAACTGAAACCTGGCCACACTTTTCTTGAGACATTTCTGTCTTGTCCTTGCAAAGCAAACTTCTTTCATTCTTCGACGCAGGAATAACAAAAGAGCTCGTTTCTCGGGCTGCACTTGCAGGTGTCTCATGTCCAAATGAAAACATGACATCAGCCGGTTTGATCACGATCTGTCCAGATTTATAGTGGAAATAATCTTCAGTAACATGGTTCTTCTTTTTCTTCTTGACGGTTGCACATATTACTGCATCCTCCTTGTGTTTAGCCCAATGATTCTTTCTGACAGTTTGTGAATCCATTCTAGCAAGTTCATTATCTTCAATTTGAGAATCAACAATAGCACTGGAATTTCCAGCACCATCTTTGAAGACAATTTCTTTCCCGCTTTCCTGGCTAGGAGTCATAGAATCCATCTGCTTGCTGTCCGGATCAAAAGGTGAACTCCTCTTCCTTTTCTTAAAAACCTTTTTAACATTATCAGGGACCGCCATAGGACGATCTGTTGCATATGCTATACCTATCTTTGCAGACTCATCGTATGTAGCAAGACAAGGAGCATTTACTTTCCGGGTTTGATCCGGATGCATATTTTCATCGTTACCCAACAAGTCAGTTAGCAGACGAACCTTCCGATTTTTTCTACGGCGTAAACCAGCGTTTTTAGTATGAAAATAATCCTCAGAGAGGTCACCACTGTCAGACGATAAGCAGTCATGTTCATCCAGTTCTTCTGAAGGATGTTTCTTCTCTTGAACTGTGATAGCATCATCCACCCCATCAATCAAACAGACCCCACTGTACTCAGAGCCATTGGCTGCCTTCACAGAATCAGGATTAGATGGTTGCTTCCCCAATTGAATGATTTCGGAAGAACTTCCACGGCCAACAACTTCATGAACTCCACAGTCTAGCATAAACAAATGAAGAGACCCATTGCCGTTTGGCTGGTTAAGTACTGATTCAGCATCCATATGCAGAAAGAATGTCGTGTTGCACCAATCTAACATCAACTTTATGCAGGTAATTGAACTTGTAGTTAGTAGCCATATTGGAAATGAACATACCTGTGTCATCTGCATCCTTCCCCTTTCCCTGGCTGACGCCAACTTCTGCAAAAAGAATCACTAAAGTATTGAGAGTTCCTAACTTGGATTATGGTCCCATACTTATCATCAAGAAATATCGAGCTTTCAGATATAAATGACTCACAGATATATGAAAATTTACCTTTGGAGATCAGTGTGCAAGTTTGATCCTCTTTGTCTTTTTTCGCGTTAGAATCTAATGAAGCACGAACGTCATTGCCATTAATTTGAGGTAAAACAGTAGCATCGGATTTTCCTGTGCTGGCAATGCCTACACTCATTATCTGCTG